TTATTATTAAGATTAAGAGTAAAGGCAAGATTAAGATTAAGACTAAGAATAAGGTTAATATGAAGATAGTGATACAGATACAGATAGAGTTTGAGATTAAGATTACGATTAAGCTAAGATTAAGAGTAAGATTAAGCAAATATTTAGAGTAGGATTACGATTAAGATTAAGGATAAGATTAAAATTAGGACTACGATTAAGGCTCATATTAAGATTAAGACTAAGATCAAGATAAGGTTATGATAAGGATTCAGATTATGAGTAAGGGTAAGATTAAGATTAATAGTAAGATTAAGATTAAGATAATGATAAAGATTAAGATTCAGACTAAGCTTAAGATTAAGAATAAAGTTTGAGATTGATTAATGTGAAAATTGAGACAAAGATAACACAGGTTTACAAAAAAAAAGGAAATAGTTTCTGAATATTGAACCAAACCTCTATATCCCTATGTTATTCGACTAGAGCTGGAAAGCTATCGATGGCATTATCGATAGTATGTATTGTTTTGTAAGCACTTTCCATAATTTTCACTTATACATATATTATTTAGTAAGAGTAAAAGCCAGCGGTGCCTGTTTCATCTTGTGAGTCGGAGAGACATTTAAAAAAGCACGGCAAATAATTTCAGAGCGCAGATGCTGCTTGAAGCCAAACATCGTTGATAAACTTTTGTTCCTTAACAAAAATATGGACATATTTTCAACTTATTTTCAATAAAAGTTGTTATGTTTAATGTTTAGAGTTTTTTAATCAAAACTATCTATAGTATTATCGATAGTGTCGACATTTTCGATAGTATCGATACTATCTATGGTTGTGACTATCGACTATCGATGGTCGTGGTCGTGCCAGCTCTATATTCGACGCGCTAAATGTGAGTAGGGAAAAATTCATTGAATAAACCTGAAAATTCATATATATAGGGTTTTTGACTCGCTGAATGCAAATCTGGGTTCTGTTAATCTCCATCACGTCAGGTTCGAGGTCATTTGAGGGTCAAATATGGAATCAAATTTATTCAACAAAAATAAAAATTCAAGTGGATGGGTTTTTGCTGTCGCTGAATCCGAATATAAAGGCCTTTGATTCTTCAAGGTCATCTCAAGGTCAAACAAAGCAAAAGGGCGTTGGACGAAAAAGCTAACGCTTGACGTTGCATTACGGTGTAATCGGAAACCTAAACACTTAAACTACCAACTGAGGTCGTTATAAATCAGCTACAGTTATTTCGAAGGATATTCCGGAACCGTAGACGAAAGAATGACTTGGACAGACACGTCTTCGAATGCGGGTAAATTTTTGTATGATCCACTAGTTATACATACTTATATAGTACATAGATAGGAAATAGGTAGGAACCTAGTATTTCAAATGGCTATGGAAAGAAGTCTAGATTGACATTTGCAGTTAAATTTGCTCCGACATAAGACCTCTACGAAAAACTCACTGCGTTAGATCGTGCTTGCTCTAACCACATGTATTTCCTACAGGTAAAATTATAAGGAAGCTCCTAATAAAATAAGAATAGTGCGTGTAAGATAAATTCATTGATCAATAAGAATGGTGCGTGTAAGATAAATTCATTGATCAATGAATTTTCTAAACAAAAATTTCTTCACTCACCTCCAACTTATAGTATCCGGGCAGCAGAATTCTCCAGAACTCGCCATGTTTCGTCGTTTGAAAACCGACATCACGTCCCTTGATCTTTAGCGAAGCACGTTCAATAGGCGTGCCAGTGGGGTCCAACACGAAACCCTGTACGCCACGATGCGCTTCGGCCAAAAATTTGATCATGGACTAAAAATTAAATTTAAAAAAAAATTTATTAGAAAGTTGTATTTCCGCAGCTTTCCCTCACACCAACTCACCAGCTGATTATCCTCCCAGTACTTCTTCAATTCATAGGCAGGTGGATATTTGCAGCATGAAATTTCCAGCGTCACCTCCATGCAACCATACCACACGTAATTGTAATCCTGCATGCCACCGGTGAGTGGATACCACGCAGCGCCATTTGTGATGCCATTCTCGAAGGCGGGCGTCGCCGATTTACAAGCTACACCGCGTGACATCTTCGCATGATTCTTAGCGTAGACAAGCGACAAATGCTTGAAGACGTCATCGTCGGGCGTGAGTGAAGGTGCCGCCGAGTAAGTTTGAAACACTGTGCCAAGGGGACATGTTGGCGGCAAGAAGTGTGGGAAAAGGAAGAAAATAAGAGTTGAAAACTTTTGTACGTATTTTTTGAATAATTAGTTTGGTAGTAGGTACAACCGCTAACAAATCGCTGCAACAAACTACTCACTCGCGCACAAAGCCGATGATCGACATATTCCTTTGAGCAGCCATGTTGTCGGTAGGAAATGGGAAAGGAAATCGGTAATACAAGTTTATAGATCGGTATGTTTTTTTACATACAAATAAAGGAAAGACGATGGATGATTTAGTGAGGTTATATGTTCAAATAATGAAATGGAAGAGCCATTGGCGAGTTTAGGGAAATTCTCTATCTGTTAATATTATCTGTTACGTAGCTACTTTGCAGGTGAATGAAGGCTTATGTCACTGACTTGAAAATCTTAAACAACCTTTTCTGTGATAGAAGTTTCTATGTATATGCTTACTAGAGTTTGGCGTATTATCATACGGATAACTGGCTACCAAAGCGCCCCCATGCAAACTGCCACTCAACACGAATTGTATTTTTGATATCCAATCCTTGACGGAGTCTGTTTCGGGCTGCCCACGCTTGTTATTCTGCTTAAAGTAGTCTGGGAAATTACGATTTAAATCGAAGCCACGTGCATTATATCTGAAAGTGGGGGAAGATATTTAGTTTAATGAAAAATTCATTTTTATTATTAAATATTCTGCGCTTCTTACCTGCCCTGCCCGCCATCACAGGCGCCTTCCTTGGACACCGCATATCCATCTGGGTTCATCGACGGCATAATGTGTATGCGTGTATTGTCCAATAACCACTTGACATACTGATCGGTATTGTAACTAGTCACGAAATATTGTATAAGATGAAGTAGCAGCTCACGACCCACTGGCTCATTGCCATGTATGTTGCCTACATATTTGACATCTGGCTTACCAACCATATGCTCGTAGGGTGAGGATGACACTACCATAACCCAGAGATCGCGTCCTTGTATTGATTTTCCAATTGAGTATAGCGCTGTCAAATTTGGGTAGCGTGCGCTGGTGGCTCTGAAAGAAAGTGAAATAGAAAAATTCGTTTGGTATAATAGCATTGTAACAATGGGCGCGTTAGTTTCGACTTAGGACAACTAAAAACATACATATGTCTGCAGCTTCCTCCATTTATTTCCGCTTTGAGAGCCGGATCAAAGTGTCATAAGATCCATACTGAGAATCAACCAAGCTTGGAGCTGAGCAATTACGGATATAAAATGAAAACCGCTCCTCAAAAAAGTCTTCCTCAACTACAGCTTTTAACCCAAACAGCTCCCCTAAGGCCGAAAAATCCCTTGACAAGACATACCAGGTTCAACCGCATCCGCAAATATGGTCGGGTCTGGTAAGAGAAGCCGAAGTCTACTCGACGATGACGAAAAGTTCAAAGGACAGGGAGACCGGGATGAGCGTCCCATGCTATAGAGTGGTAAGCTCACCAACCAGCGAATATCGTATTTTGCGATTGTCTCGGATTACCAGAGGAACAACTTGATGACCTGTGGTCGCGCCAAGGAGCACACCCCTCTAAGGCCACTCATTAAATCCAGCATACCGATCGTTGCCGTGAAGGTGAAAGAGTACATTCTATATGTGAAATCATTTATTCTTGATTTCAAAATGGTATAGTAAGGAAAGGCACAGGTCGCTAGGTGCCGACGAGGGGTGGAATATGGTCTCGCTTCAACAGGATAGCTATAGCTTCGGGAAGCTGAAGGTTTTCAAAACTGACACTAAAACTCTGGTCAACTAAGACATTGAAACTGGTGTTTCAAGTAAGCAGATAAATTACTCGCGCCAATATTAATTCTGCGGTGTCAGTATTCATTATGATATCTAGGTGGTAATTAAGGCCTTCTGCTTTGAAGTCATCCCGCATGATTTCAAGGCGATAACATTGGATGACATTCACAGGCACGAACTTCATCTTGTAAGACAGAGTTAGTTTGTGTCAGCTGATGAAAAGCACTAGTCTAGGTTGCATTCCAAGATTCCAATACCAGGCTCGGTCATAGAGTCATATGTATACTAAATTTGGTTATCTTTTCGGGGTTAAGGTAGTTCATTGTCCCAGTTAGTTTTGTATGGAAAAACTACCTTCAAGTTATGTGAAATTTTAGCCCACAAGACATAGGTCCACGAAGTCACTGCTCATTCTTTCTCTCCTTTTCTATAGCCGCAAGTATCCTAACCTCTGATTCACTGCATTGTAACCAGAAAAGAGTTATACAGCTCTATTCGTCGCGGATAAAACAAATTTTGTAACCAGTACAAACAGGGGTTTTAAGCATTTTTTTAATTTCTCCGTTACATATGTTCTGCAGCGCTCAGAATAGATCTGTTAATGTAAACACTGGAGTCGCTTTCGTATTTACATACAATGATGGAGGCAGTTCCAGAAGCGCCCTGAGAAGCACGGTCTGTTTTTTTGTCATTGCATTACAGATGCCTATGTAAGTCATTAGAGTTTGCTGAGCTTGGATGGCGGAGACGTTTCCTCTGAATGAGATAAAAATGTCACCCATGTAGCCCTGATAATGGAAGCTTACTTAGAAGTCAGACTAGCTCGAATTCTACGGTGGATCATAACATAGGGGAGATATAAAAGATATCCCTGTGGGAATTCTTTCATTGCCCAGAAACTGACTCTTTCCTGCTCTAGAGCGGAAGTTAGGCTTCTGGATTTGGAGGAATTCCCTTTCCATCGGCATGTGATATCATTTATTCCTTTGCGACGGACACAACCAAAAGCATACTTTAAAACCAGCTTCTTTTCTTCCGACTTTTGTTAAAGATGATCTGAGAAGATTTCACCTACCCCAAAGGCTTTTTAAAGGCTCTGGGGTAGATATACTTAGTGCACCTTATTGTATTCTCAACGAACAGGTCCTTTGACGACTTTCCAGTCCTCTACGCAAGATTCTTTTATCCCCATTTGCATGTGTATTGTTTGAGTTGTGCTCAGTGGGAAGCACAAAGAAAATGCACCGCGGCTAGCAAGTTCCGACATTACTTGCAGCCAAACGTTTATGATCTATCATGTCTTCTAACTCTGTGGATTCTTGCACTCTCTGCACACAGAACTCGAGAATATATGCCAAGCAAGCAAACCAAAGAGATTTGCTGTGGTATCGTAGGAATTTTCACTTTGATCAAGATAAGAGTGGCGCTGATAAGACATTGGAGAATACTTAAAAGTTGTTAAAAAACGTTGAACTAAAGTATGTTTTCATTCTCGGAGGCCTTTAGAGTGCTTTAAATTGAATGACCATATCCGGGCAGTAACCATTTCGCAGCACTAAATAAAATACATGTACGTAGGTATTCGTTCTTACCAGCTAACTATTTGGTTATCGAATAACGTGAACAAGTAAAATCCGAATTTTTATGCTCCCATCCCCTAGGATTGTTCTATAACAGAAAACAATATTTCCCTATTTTTTTATTTTCGCCAAATCTCCCAGAAACTGCAAAAGGGGACCCATAAAAAACTTTAGCATAAAAAATGGTTTAATAAACAATTGTTTATCATTTTTGGAAGCCTTTTGAAGAGAATCAGAGTTATCCGATCCAAATATATTGATTTTCAAGGGTTCTATACAATTTCTACGAAAAGTTGTTTCTCAAAATAATAAATGGGGGGGTATATTTTTCCGATAGAGAATAATCCTAGAGGGTGAGAAAATTAAAATTCCGAATTTAATTTTTTTTTTGACCACCCTTAATAAGTTCTTTGAAGTTATCTTACCTTAGAAATCTTGTCAATTCATCGTGATCATGATAAACAAAATCCAAATACTGTGAATCAGGTATGTAAGCACGGGGTTCGGGCAGTGCTGCGTCGAGTTCATTTGTCGACTGGGCGAGGCAATGATAGGCGTACAGCAGGAAAAATGAAACAAATGCGGGCCGCAGAATCATAATGAGTGCAGTGTTGTCGTCGTTGCCTCAATATTGGCAATTATTGCTATTGTGTACTGACTCCTGTAGATTTTTGGAGCTGCAAAAGAAATAAAGTCGTTAGTTATGCAAAATTAAGAAATTGTTTAGGATTGCTTCAATATAGTATAAGCAACTCAAAACGAATTGCTCGTCGAGTAAGTAGAGTGCAACAACCGTGAAAGATCAAGATCATTGCGCAAGGAAAACATATGTGGCTTCATAATTGTCTGTTTTTCTTTCGCGACCATCGATTGGAAAACCAATTTAGCTTGTGACGTGATTCAATTGCGTTGCTGCATGTACTAAGCGTGATGGATAGTAAAATACAAATGAAACTTAGGAAAAACTTTAATGCGAAAAAGGTAAGAGATAATAATAAGACGAAGTGTGGAAAAATGNTGGCTTCATAATTGTCTGTTTTTCTTTCGCGACCATCGATTGGAAAACCAATTTAGCTTGTGACGTGATTCAATTGCGTTGCTGCATGTACTAAGCGTGATGGATAGTAAAATACAAATGAAACTTAGGAAAAACTTTAATGCGAAAAAGGTAAGAGATAATAATAAGACGAAGTGTGGAAAAATGATGGGACATTGCACTCTACAGATAACTGAAAGATGCGTTGCGTTAAATAGGTAGGGAGAAATTCAAAACTCAAGTGGTTGAGTGATTTACAATATATGTCTAGTACATCACATGCCCTCACATTACAGGTAATTTACATATATCAGTAAAACAAAACACACTTAAACGCAGCCAAGCATTAAGAAGATTTTCATATTAATTTTTTTAATCCTTTCAAAATATTTTAAAACCGAAACCCTCTTAAAGATCTTTCCTTTGATTTCCATATCTTAAGATTTAGTTGGGTTATCTTTTCAATGAAAAAAAAAAAAATCTCTCGATTGTTAGGTTACGTAGTTAAAAGCATAAAGTAGAAAAGGAAAACAAAACAAGTGCGTTTAGCTGTTTTCGACTGCGGGAACTGAATGGCAGTTTACAGCTCTACCTATTCGGCTGCTGTGCACAGTGGTACATAAATGGAAAAGGTGGACAAAGTTATTGCTGGATTATTTAAATAGAAATAATTTTTTGTGGCATGGCATAGTTTCCATACCTAAAAGTATGTTGTATGTTAAAGCTTGTTCAAACACCTTCTGTTTGACAGACATATTGTTATATGTATAATTATAAATACAGTTTTTAATAGACGCAATTGCAAATTTTTAGAAAAGTGGCAACCCCACTGCAAAATATTTTTTTTTTTAATCTCTACAAACGGCTTTTACTTTAGTATAGAAATTGATGTATGCTGTTGAGGCTTTGAATAATTTTAAATTTTCAGATATCTGGCAACCCTATTTTGAAATATTTTCCAGAAATACTCGACGATGTAATGAAAAAAAAAAAATTAACAAATCCGTTGAGACGATTAAAGCCGTTAAAACCCCAAACAGGCCAAAATACGTGTCTCCGCGTTTTTTTAAATAATTTTTGGGCATCTGATACTTTTCGAAATACCACGGATTCTGATACTTTCGATAATAAGCTATGCCCCTAAAAAACAGTCAAGCAATAATTTTGGCTAATTTCTCCCATTTCTGTACCACTGTGCGGTGTTCGCCTTACCGACACTACCCGATTTAGTACTCGTAATATAAATTTAAAATTAATTCAAGCAGACACAACATAAAAGTAAAAAAAATGAATGAATTCAAGAAAACATTTCAAAATATTCTTCTTCTTCTTATATGGTGCTGTAATGGCCTAAGAGATTTTGGCAAAGTTCAGCAAAGCACGCCTGTCGGTTCTCTGCTGTACCAACTGACGCCAATTGGAAAAGCCAAGTGAAGCCAAGTCCTTCTGCAATTGGTCTTTCCAATGCGGGTTCCGAGTTGAACACTTTCAGAGCTGGAGCGTCGAAGTGCATTCGAACGACATGGCCAAGCCAGCGGAGCCGCAACCATGGTTGCCACTGCACAAAATTTATTAGTATCAAAATTTTAACAAAAAAGTACCATTTCGATTAAAATGTACCACTTGTATTATTTTTATAAAAAAAATTAATTTTTTTTATAAGTACAGAAAGTTAAAGTGAATATATGTATATGTATATGTAACAAAAAAAAAATTGGTATTTTTACAAAAAGCTTTCGTCTCATAAATATATCGCTCAGTTACTAGAATACCATCATTCTCGCTTTTGAAGTTTTTTTTTCATTTCCAAGAGAAGAAATTTTATAATTTCGAAATTTGTCATTATTGGGACGAAATAAAAACCAAAGACAAAAACTTGCAACACCATCGTCACTAGAGATGGGCACTGAGCGGAGCTATCGAGCGGACTCTCAGCAATATGTCGCACGATCAGACTCACTTCTAAGAAACAATATGACTCGGTAGCTCAATAAAAAATTGTCAAATAGTCTGTACTCAGAGTAAAGAATG